GAGATGAGGTCGAGATTCTATTAGCACATTTTTTTGGGTCAACAATAATATTTGTATAAATTATATTTAAGTGTACCATAATAATTAGCCGCTTAGTTTTCAAAATTTTGATGGTTGATCATGATCTTAAATAGGATACGAATTGTTGCAACATCATTTTCATTTTGAATATCCTTTCATATTGAACATTCGTTCATTAATACTTTGCTCAATGATAGAAAGTGAAAATTTACATATGAAATATCTCCCAATAACTGTTTAATGTTGAACTCAATATATCAAAAGTGAAAAATAACCCAAACAAATTACTAACAATCCATTTAAAATTCCAATGGACCAAAATGGTAGGTGCAAATTCCATTTACAATGAATTTACAAATGGAACACTAAGCCATTTGTTCACCACCATGGTCTTTATATTAGCCCCTGTTTGGCCCCCATTATGGGGAAAAATTAATGTGTGGAATAGTATTTTTTGAAAAATTAGTGGTTGAAAAAAAAGTAAAAATTTTCGATTTACGTGTAATATTATTTTATGGAAGATTGTGAGGTTGAAAATAGGAGAGAGAAAAATGAAATATAATGTAATAAAAATTAATGGGGCTCAAACGTGGGCTAATTATTTAGCTGGTCTTTGTTGGAAAAAATTGGGTGATTTGTATATAGATTTATTTATAAATTAGCATAATCAATTAATTGACATAATCATAATTCAATAATAATATAAAAATAAGAAGATGGTTAGAAAGAAAGCAAGCCTTGGGAGTCACATCGACGACGCTGTCTTAAAGTCGTGTTGCCTCCCTTTTGTGCAGTTTCTTTCGACACTTCACGACTCAAAGATAAAATTAATAGGGAGATAAATGAACGAGCATAGGGAGATAAATGAACGAGCATTTATCAAGATGCCAAAAGTATAATATAAAATGGTAGAAAAAATAATGCTTCAAGTGGTTCTCTCAAATTATATAAATGACTCTCTTATATAGTGTAAAACTTTAATACCTATAATAATGAGAAAACATACAAGTTATCATATGAATTATGGTCTTCTAAATTTATATTAAAACTAAAAATTAATAGGTTTTAATTTGGAAATGTTGAAACTTATTCCAAGTTACAACCACAACCACATTTATAATATAAGTTATAATATGTATGTTACACCATAATATTATTAATTTAATTTTGTATAAAATTGAAACAACAAATTATTAATTTGAAATTTTAAAACTTAAATTATTTATTTTCCAACAATCCCTCACAAGTTTTAAATTTTCAAATATATATATATATATATATATAACTAGGAATTTTTTGGATTTGAGACTCACTTAGTGATAATAATTTTCATTCAAGGGAGTCATTATGAAATAAGCCTTGAATTAGATCCCTTTGACCAAATTTCAATTATTTCACATACAGTATCAATTTAGACTCAGTTCATGGAGGATAACGCTTTTAATGGCCATGCGCTCTAATCTTGATTCTAGTAAGAGTCTCTAGGAAATAATTCAATCATATAGACACGACCTCATGACAACTCTTACATAGGTGAATCCTCAAAGGGTGTGTGTGACACACATCCCGTGAGAATTCTCGTCTCGGTACTCATTTAGGATTAAACCCTTCCTAACATCATATTATTATTAGCACTATATCACCATAGGGATGAGTACAAGTCATGCAATATGGGTTATTTCTATCACATTGAACCTTCTTCATAGGATCTCTAATCACAAAGGTTGGGTTACTCTAGGAGGTGACTTCCTTTTGGGCTTAAACTCATCCCCTCGATAATTTATGTATGTCTATCTCGGACTATATATATTCATGTTCTTCTTGAACAATAAATTGGTACCATTAATTTGCAAAGCTTTTCTTCTTCACTTGCCCATCTACATATATGCAAAGTCACCTAAGAATTTTCTAAAATGTCAATATCACATATATAATTATAATAAAATTTCGGATATTGGCTTCTAGTAACACGTTTGGGAAAATACATCCATAGAGCTCTTGCATTTCACATGTAATCTTCAAATTCATTTTTTTTTTTTTAGCATTATTCAAGAGTTAGTTTACAACTAGAAAAAAAAATATAAGGTGTATCTATATTAAACACCTTCACATTCCAAAGATATCCATCGTTGTGGAGTTTTTTTGAAATTTTTCACGTCTGCAAATATTTTTAAACACTTTCACAAAATGTTAGCGTCATAATAAATAAGAATAACTTAGATAGATTTAAATAAAAGTGTATCATTTCAATATTCATCCAATTTCTCTTCGAACATTAACCAAAGAAAAGAAAACTCTATTAAATAATTTAATACCCCCTATTTCAAGGATATCCAACCTGAATTGAGTAAGTATATGATCTTACAATTTACCTCTTTCAAACATACTGCAAGGTAGAACCAATTCTCCATTCAGTCATTAAAATTATAACCTTAGAAAATTAAATTCTCAAATATACATTGTGATAAAATTGGTAGTAAAGGTGTAAAGAAAATAGGAACTAATAAGTACCATTTTTCTTTTTGTACCACATTTTGTCCTATAACCGGGAAGACTCATAGAGTATCTCAATTGGAACTAACTTAACAAAATTTATATGATCTAGAAAACTCCCCATTTCATATATTACACCTTGAATAATTGATTAATAAAAATTAAAGATATTTGTATTAATGCTAGTTAGAGCTACAATTTCTAAACTTTAAAAGAATAATAATTTTCTCGATACCTTTAATGTACAATTTCTACCATCGATGCTGAATCTAGCATCTATGACTCCAACTCATAATCACGTAAATTTACCAGCAAAATTAAAATTATAGTAAATTGACCAAAATACTAATTGAGCCATAATCTCAAAATATGTAAAACCAAATGACTTTTAAGTCACAAGAATTTCAAGTTCAAGAACGTACTAATCGACTTAAATGTGTTTAGGCAGTCACATATTGCAAGAAAATCAAGTTTTAATAAAATTCTAAAGTCAACAACACTACAACAATATTTAAGTTTCAGATGCTCAAACACAATCACATAATCAATAAGGCTTAGATGATTTTATTTATTATTATTTTTTTTTGGGTTAAAAGTAAATTTCAAATTCACATTTATTGCAATCACAAGATTAAGATATAATCAGTTGCATAAAATATCCATCTACCAAAATTCAATTTCTTCCCGAAACCATGGGATGGTGCCTGACCACTAGAAGATACTACAACATCAAATACAAACTAATTATCGTCTCCTGTAATTATGAATTTTTAATAAAAGATTTAACCTTGTTTAATACTAACCTCAATGTTTTCTCACGCGGTCTAAACTCGCACACATAAAATCCATTACATGAAATTTAATCTCTACTCCAAGAAATGAAGCCAAATACAACTACCTAATTTAGCCCACCAATCCTTCCAAGAACTCAATTTTCACAAAGACTCTTTACAAGAAATTGACACTTAAACACATCTCATATAATTAGCACTAATTCTTAAAAAATGATTTAATCTTTCAACCCCAGCACTGGCCATGGCAACACTTTGCATGGACAATATTATTGCATTAATAGGCAAGAGGAAAGCTTCATGCTGAATGCCAAAGAAAAAAAAACTTTGAAAACTTCTAAGGGGTTCGTGCTTCCCTCCTATTTATTCTTATCGAACGAAGAAAAGATTAATTGAAGTTATTTAAATAGGCATAGAAAATTAAGATTATGAATTTTCAGTCCATGGAGCTACTATGGGATCGACATGTTTTTAAATTCTTAGCTTGCTAAAAAGGTTTGTTGATTATTTATATAAGTATGCTCCCACTGGTCGGTTTATTGATATTCAAGCTTAAAATCAGTATCACGAAATTAAGTGGACAAGTAAAAACATACACAACGACTTTTCCTATCAAAATCACAAGAAGAATTGTCTAAAGTCGTGTTGGAAGTCACGTCGACGAAGCTGTCCTAAAGTCGTGTTACATCCCCTTCGTGCAGATTCTTTTGACACTACACGGCTCCAAGATAAAATTCATGTGGCTCTCCCTCTATGGGCTCGATTATAGGGAGATATGTGAACGAGCCTTTATCGAGATGTCAAAAGTATAATATAAAATTGTAGAAAGAATAGTCCTTCAAGTGGTTCTCTCAAATTATAGAAATGGCTCCCTTATATAGTGTAAAATTTTAACCTCCACAATAAATATAGTGTAAAATTTTAACCTCCACAATAATGAGAAAACATATATGTTATCATATGAGTTATGGTCTTTTAATTTTATGTTAAAACTAAAAATTAATAGATTTTAATTTTGAAATGTTGAAACTTATTTCAAGTTACAACAACCAACACATTTATACAATAAGTTATAATATGTATGTTACACTATAACATTATTAATTTTATTTTGTATTAATTTAAAATTAAAATAGAAACAACAAATTATTAATTTGAAAATTTAAAACATAAATTATTTATTTTCCGACAATCTCCAATCTTTATATCGGAAAATTTTGATTTTCTGTATTTCAAATATGGTGCACAAATAGTTGAAGTAGACGGGTCCAATTTGCCATCAACCTAATACACAAATAATAGTCTCATTTTTTAAATTTATAATTCTTTAAATTCATTTCCAATTGTATATTTTACAGGACTTACAATTTTTATTAACTCTCAAACCACAAATTTCATGAATTTTATCAATATTAAATTTTTAACTAAAGAGTCTGTTTGAGAGTGATTTTGAAAATTGATTTTTTGACCGTTAGGGGAAAAGCGAGATTCACTTGTGAGAGAAAAAGTCAAATATGACGACTGAAATAGTGAAATAACTGTCAAAAAATCAATTATTTGGGCCAAAAAATCACTCCCAAACAGGTTATAAATCAAAGAGGTTAAATTTCCAAAAAAAAAAACAAAAAAAAACAAAAACAAAAAAAAAGGAAAAAGGGGAGAGAGAGAGAGAGAGAGAGAGAGAGAGAGAGAGGGGAAGAAGAAGAAGTCATTTCATACATTCAACACCATCACATTTATGTAAAGCTTGTTTGAACATGTAAGACAAGATCTCCTCTTTTTTTACTAACCAAAGACGATAAAGATAACTGAAATTATAGAAAAAGCAAGGCAGGAAAGGTGGGTGGTCTTTTTCCACTTCATTCTACGGCCAGAGACTTGAGCTTGTAGGCACCCATTATTGTTAGCACAAATAAGGAAATGGAAGCCAAGTAAGATAGCGCAATTGACACCAAAATTCTGTCACAAAATTTGTCCACTCGATCACAAATTTTTATCCAGCCTGTTTGGCTCTGTCCATATTTTCCCACGGACCCGATTGCTGTACTTGCTGCGCATCCCGATATCAACACGATCATATTTACCTGTCAAAATAATCAAATGAACTAAATTATTTGGTTAGGAAAAAAAAAAATTAATGAATTAACGAAGGTATTTGATTTACCATATCATGGCAGAGCAAGAAAAAGTAATTGTTGGTATTGGATTTGCGATGACTAAATGAATAAACAAGAAGCACTGACAGTAATGAGATGGCGCAAACAACCGAATCTGCAATAACCTTGAACCTGCCAGACATTCATGAAATAATATTAATGAGTATTAATTAATTTGTTGCGTTGGTACAGTGGTTAATGTACCTGAAAGCAGATGAGTAGGTATAACGGGCTTGCATAACGATTCCAAAGATGGTTACTGACTGCTCACTGGTTACCATGGTAATCGCCCCGGCTAATGTGAAAGCAACTACCACCATTCTCAGGGACATTTGGGCTACGAAGAAAGTTTTCGAAGATTTGGTGGCCATTTTCGGTGGCCAAATAAAGGATATCTCTTGTTTTGGCATCTCAGTATCCATAGTAGGAGTTTTGAACAAGAGAGAAGCTGTTTAAGAAACTATAGAGAGTGAGAAATGGAGGCGGAGAAAATAAGAAGCAGGAGTGGACAAAATAAAGGGCATGTTAATAAAAATGACAAAGGAAGGGCCCGTTTGACAGACTTCTAAAAAGTCAGAAATTACTTTTCAATTGCCAAGTAGGATGGCTCTATGGTTCTAGGTTGCGAGTTTCATTATTTGCTAGACGAGAGAAGTGAACCACACCTATTTATCATCAATAAAACTATTTGCACATTCGGTATTGACACCCCGGATGACACTCCCCTCACAAGAGAGGAGGGCCCACACGTAATAAAATAATTGTGGGCCTCCCTCTTATGAGGGGAGTGTCATCCGAAGTGTCAACCCTGGATGTACAAATAGTAAAGTTCATTTATCATTGGGGGTTGTTTCATTCTGTTGTCATATTTTTAATCCCAGCAGGGTGAGGGTGATGGCTGATTTGTGTGACATCGGCGTCTCATTAGCATGCATAATTCATATACTTTAGTGATCCTCCCCAAACAAACCCCAAAACCAGAAATAAAAAATGACTAAGCAAAAGAAGAAAATAGGATTCACAAATTGCTGCGTGTCAATCACGTCATATACCCGAACGATTATTGTTTACAAGAAGCCATCGGCGTATATTGCTTAAAAAATTTATTATCTTACAAGACACGCAGATGGAAGCAGAAGCCTATAATAATAGTGAGGTAAAGCATCTCAATCAGTTGATGCAGAAATTTCCCCCCTCTCTACTTCAGCATGCAAATCACTTAAAAACTTGTGGGAAGAGAGAAAGGGAATTTAATTTCATTATACATTTTAAAATGTGATTCTAGAAATTTCAAGTACCACTACTACACGAATAATTTGCCTAACAATGATAGATTTCCAAAGGAAGACATTCGAACAAGAAATTTGTGACCCATAATCATATTGCATAACAAACTCATCAAATATCAAAAAAAATCAAATAACATAGCTAACCCTTGAAATCTTGTTTACAAGTTTCATAGAGTTCCAACATCATTACAATACACAGTATGTCAAACTTCTCTACTATTTTCTATTATTGATAATCTCAATCGTCGGAATCATCGGGATTGCCCAAAAATCAAGCCCATTTTCCCAATAATTGTGTCATTTTTTAATTGTGAAAGGTTTACTTTCATGTGCGAGGCAAAATTGCAAGCAACTAAATATTCTCCAATGAAGCAAAACTCCAGGGGTTATGAAGCTCGTGTCTTCGCCACCCAACTCCCAGAGCAACAACATTTTCCGTGGCTTGAGATTGTGAGTGGAGACCAAATTATCACTAGCATAATGGTCGGCAATGAGTGCAGGCTGGTCCTTGCCAGATCAATTCATTTCCACTGAAAACTCCCCCTTCGCCGTCTTCTACCCCAACACAAGAGGGACGAAATACAAATAAAAAACGAAACCATAAGCCCAACGCCTATTAGGAAAATAAACTAGCACAAAGAAATCAAGCACCCATCATGACTTTTTTTTTTTTTTTTCCTTTCATCTTTTGTTGGCATTATCACACTTTTTAATGCATGTCAATAGAATAATGCTATATAACACCAATGGTACTAAAATATTAGTTTAGATAGTCATACTTGATAAATTCAATTAAATGAATCATGTGATTTTGCATTTGAATTGATCAATTATCTAATGCCATTTAGTTATTGTTGTAACTTAAGAATGAAGTTTTAACATTTCAAATTAAAACTTTTAATTTTCAATTTTAACATAAAATTAAAGCATCATAATTCATATTGAAATTTGTGTTTTAATGATATGATTGTGGGGTTAAATCTATCCCTATAAAAGGGAGTGCTTTTCATTAAGAAAAACATGATGAAAATCACAATTTGAGTTACAATTGAAAACAAAATACTCTCTACATTTCATACTATATTTTTATAGTTTTGACAACTCGAAAAATGTTCATTGACTTATCTCCCTATGGTCGTGTTCAAAGAAAGAAATTTGGTTGTTAGCCACATGGGTTTTATCTTTGGAGTCGTATAGCGCCGAAAGTATCCACACGAAGGGAAGGCTACTCAACTTTAAAACTGTTAAGGAAAATATCAATCATGACAGCAACCTCAATCATCTCTAGCAAACTCCTTGCAGTCAGCAGCCTCAATCACCTCTCATCTCCAACAAAAGCCCATTGATGATTGAGGCGCTGGAGATGAGAGGTGATTGAGGTTGTTGATTGCAAGGAGTTTGCTAGAGATGATTGAGGCTGCTGTCATGATTGATATTTTCCTTAACACCCGCCCGCAAGCTAATGGGAGGCGAGATAACTAGCAGCTTGGATCGAAGGTGTAGAAATCGTGGTGCACAAATTTAATTAAAATATCCCCATTAACAACTTTGTCATGTACAAAGTGATAATCAATCTCAATGTGCTTGTACGAGCATGAAATACCAAATCCAAGGCCAACGCTAAGGCACGAGCATTATCGCACCACAATGTTGGAGGAAAAGCAAGTAAAACTTGTAACTCACATAGCAACATTCTTTACCAATATAATTCTGTAGTAGTAACGGCCATTACCCTATATTCCGTCTCAGTGCTTGAACGAGAAACCACATGGAGAACTCTTTTAGTTGCAATCCAATGAGCTGTGGATGGTGAGGCGAGATGTTGACACGGCTGATTAACAGAAAAGGCAATTTTAGGCCATGTAATGGTACAATATTGGAGAGCACAGACTACATGTCTATACAAGGTCGGATCAGGAAGAGCTTCACCAGTTGATTTGGACAATTGAGTGCCGGCAACACATGGAGCCGAGTAAGGTTTGGCACCAATCATTTCAACTCTGGTAAGAACATCAATAATATATTTGGCCTGACACAGATGAAGACCAGAAGAATCCCGATATGCCTGAATGCCAAGGAAAAATGCAAGAGTACCAAGATCTTTAACTGGAAAGATCTTTTGTAATGTGAGAATAGCTTTCTGAATCAGATGAGCATGAGTGCCTGTAATATAATATCATCCACATTCCACATAGATAAGGATATAAATGTGTACATTAGAAGCATGATAGATAAATAATGATGAGTCCACTTTAGAGCCAAGGAAACCAAGATTTGCAAGGACATTCGGTAGGCGAGAGAACCATGTCTTGGTGCTTACTTAAGACCATAGATTGCCTTGTTCAGAGAGCACACATAATCCGAATAGGTAGGATCCACAAATTCTTGTGGTTGTTCCATAAGCACTTTCTCTACAAGAGTTCCATGAAGAAAAGCATTAGATACATCAAGTTGAAGGATGGGCCAATCAAACTGAATAGCTAATGCTAATAGTAATCTGATAGTTGTGGGCTTAATCACAGGACTAAAAGTATCGTGATAGTCTACTTCGCTATTTTGTTGAAAACCTTTGGCTATAAGCCAAGCCTTAAATCGATCAATGTTGCCATCAGCTTTCTATTTTATTTTATATACCTATTTGGACCGAATAATGTTGCAATGAGGTGGTCTAGGACAAAGAGTCCATGTGTTATTAGAAATCCGAGCATCAAATTCTTGCTTCATGGCATCCTGCCACTTAGGATCTTTGGCAGCACTATTATAATGAGAAGGCTCCATAGTTTGTAAAACAGATGAAAATGACTTTATGGGATGTAGGTTAGAGTAATATAGGGTAAACTCTAGAAATGTTTTTGGTTTAAGTGATCTAGTTTGCATTGGATGGGAAGAGACGAAAGGCACGGTAGGCATTGATTCATTGGAATGTATTGATGGAGGAGAGGATATTATGGGAGGAGGAGAAATATCATCGTTTGTTTTGGTGGGAGAGGATATTAAAGGTGAGTGAGGGAGATCTTGGCTGGAGAAATGAGGTGATGAGATCGTTGGAGAGCTAGAATTTTGGATAGGTGTGCTGAGGGGAGTTGATGTAGGAAGTGACAAAGTAGGGTCAACTGAAGGAAAATTAGAGATAACATATGAAGGAGATAAACTAGGAAAACTTACCTCTATTGCAGATGGAGCCGTGTGCTGTAAAGAGGTAGTGGGCACAGCTTTATCCAGTCCTGGGAAGAGAGATTCATCAAAGATCTCATGACCGGAGATGTAGAATTTTCTAGAGAGAGGTTCAAAACATTTGTAACCTTTGTGCCCAACATTATATCTCAGAAAAATGCAAGCTTTGATGCGATGTTCTAATTTATGTTTAGTATATGGTATGAGAAGTGGATAACACCGATAACCAAAGCTTTTGGGAAATGATTGAGGCTGCTTTCATGATTGATATTTTCGTCAACAAAAACGACATTATTGACGTGACTTCCTAATGCTTGTATTGTAAACCTCCCTTATTGTTGAATTATAATGTTTATATTGCTTCAATATTATTATGTTTTTGCAATTATGAAATTATGTTATTTATATTTACTAATTGATAATTTGTATACACACAAATCACCCATTTTTCCCAACAATCTAAAGTCGTGTTATGGTGATTTATATATAGACAATTCTTGTAGTGATCTTCAAAGTATAGAAAATATATCTTGTGTATGTGTGCCCAAGTAATTAGAGGGGAAAAAAAAGGGACTCCCTATTGCCGTCCTATTCTGTAAGTGTGTGTGTCTATATATATATATA